ATCACCCCACCCCCCTATTTTTTTTCCCGTGCAACCCTCCCTACAGCATCCCCTGCACTCGCCCAACCCCCGTGCAACCCCCCCTACAGCATCCCCTGCTTACGCGGTTTCATAGGGCGACTGGCCACTCAGGTGATGCTCGGTCCCTCTGCTTCAGGCTGTCCCCTGGCCAGTGTTCCCCACTGGGGGCTCCCGGAAGGCAATAAAGGCCACCCTGGGCTGAAAAGGCCACCCGGTGTCAGATTAGACGCAGGATTGAATTTACCTGGGCTGGTTAGCCCGATGATAATTTTTTTTTTTTTATTTTTTTTTTCCAGATATTAAACTGATCAGAACAGATACTACACTTGATCTTAGCCAAAAGGCCCGATGATAATACCTCAAGGCCATGGCCCTGTTCAAAAATAAATAAATGATAAAAAATAAAAAAATTATAAATAATCAAATAAAATAAAATCGCCTTTGGAATTTCAGAGGGGTGTCGCCATCTTCCCACATGGTTTTGGGGGTATTTTACTATGATCTTAGCATATACGAGAGGTTTAATCCTTTCAGGGGTACAAATTTTCCAGGTCCTAAAAATAAAATACAGGTACGAAATTCAATGAATAGGAAGAATAGAAGACGGGGAAAAAATATCAGGAACGTATATTGCGTGCTGATCTTTTTTGAGGAAAACGAAAATATATTCCCGGCGGTGAATTCCATTTACTCTTCGTGCGGGGCGCTCAACACAGAACAAGGCTCATACCAAACACAGAACAAGGCTCATACCAACTGGTGGGAAGAGCAAAGCATACACTCCAAGGGAGCCAACAACTGGCGCTACGCACAGACGCACTCCAATCATGACAGTCTGTTGGGGGACACGCAAACACGTTGATACAGGAGAACAATGCACCGATTTCAAGAAATTTACAATATGCAGGAATACGTTGGAAAAGACGATTCTTCTTTATGAGAAGAGATCATATTCACGCTAATATCGCACTTCGTGCCTCCACGGTCGAAATTCATTGGGTGTCGACTCGCACTCTAAAGATGTGCGTCACACACGAACACATGGAGCAAGCGAAAGAGCAAGCCAGCAAGCGAACAAAAGTGAAGAGAGAGAGAGAGAGAGAGAGAGAGAGAGAGAGAGAGAGAGAGAGAGAGAGAGAGAGAGAGCACTAAATACTAAGCAGTATGCCTTGTTGCTCGTTACGGCCGTCTACTTCATCCTTACGCAAGGCACCGGAAGTCCTAGATGCCAGCGTATTCTTTTCCAGATTTAGAAATTACATGACGTGGAAAGTTGCTCGCCTGCCAGACATTAAATACGTACTCTATATATAATTATAATGATCGTTGAGTGACCAGCTCCACAACTGGCTAGACTTCCTATTGAGCTCCATCAGCAAAGTGCTGTTGTACACACACACGTCCGATCCCCTGCGTCGGTGATGTCGCCAGTTCTTAGCTGACCACGCTCAGTGACGCGCCCCGGACAATACAATGCAGCTGCGGACCGATAGATTAATCCACTCATCTCCAAGGTGAGCCCCTCCCGGTCGCTCATTCGACTTCTCTCCAAGTAGCTTGCTGATGTCGAACGACCGCCCCCCCCTGTTGTTGACGCCTGGTTAAATCAGCTTAGGCCATGCTCACATTTTCTGAACTGGATCTCGCTGCATTTACCGCCAGATGCTCCAGAAACGCTTTTATACGAGTATGCCCTTAGCACTTCTTCCAGAGCAGAGTATAACCCGGACTGGTGACGGTGATCGAGCCCTTGTTGTTTAGGACGACCAAGGCCTTGTTGTTCTTATTCGGCCTGGATGGAGGCAGTACTCTTGCCTCGAAATTGACATTGAACGTCACCGACTGACTGCCACACGGTGCATAGACAGATGTTGCGAAGCTGTCCGAGAACTCAAAGTTGCCATCGACGGGAGGAGGCAAGCTGCGCGAGGATCTGCCTGTCCCTGGGATACTCGAGATGAAGTACGCGGCTGCCAGTGAACCCGTGACGCCTTCCTCGAACTGGGCGGACCCTCGGAATGTCGCAGTCCGCACACTAAACGTGAACCCAGCAGGATAGCTCAGGTCGACGGCCACTTGGCAGGTTTTCCGCAGGTCAGCTTTGCGTCCTGGGGTGAACACTTTGAACTCCGTGAAACCCAAACTGGAAATTCCGTCGTCGGAGAGTATGAGCTCGAGACTTCCAGGCGGACAGCCAGTGCCAGCATAGGTCAAGCCCTCGATCTTTACCGTACCAGGTGCCGGACTTTGAGCAAGTCCAGGAACGGCAATCTGGAGAAGCCCCAGCAGCAGCACGACCACCATCGCCGCCATCGTAGACACTGACTGGAAAACCGTCTGCCTGATCCTCTTCGTCTTCGCCTTTCTTCTCACCTTGCTCCTGTCTCCGCGCGCCCAGCGACAGATGAGCTCTTCCGGGGATGGTAGCAGATAACGCCCTCCCCAATTCGCCGCTCCCGGAGCTGTTCGCCTGGAGTCGCCCCTTGAGCTCCCTCTCCTCGGCTGAAATGCCGTGGAAGAAGAGATAGCCGACGCCACTTCTCGCAGCTCCCGCCTGCGATCCCCAAAGACCGCCCACGATCAGTAAGCAGATCGCAGCGCACTGTACGCAGGGTGCCCGTTAATGCGCCTTTATACAGAGCCGGAGGTGAAGTCTGCCTGTGTCCCCCCAGCACAGGTCGGTTCGAGGAGGAAAGCAGCTCACAGGCGTACCCTCTGACAGTGTGGAGAGGACATGCGGGTCAAATAAATTAAGCGGAAGATAAACCGGAGAGCCGGCCGAACGCCACGCGTCCAGTGTCGAAACGAGAGAAAGAAGGAAGGTTGCACCTCGCTCCACTACTCTCGATCAAATAAATTAAGCGGAAGATAAACTG